CCCAGCGTCTGCCCGCAGCTCCTTCCCTCAGCACTCGGTTGGCGTGTAGCTGCACAGCCAGCTGACGCGTCTGTTGCTCGTCGCAGACGAAAGGGAACAGGAGAGCAGAAGGCGGGAGGTGAGGAGGGAGCTCTCGCAGGCAGTCCTGCTGCTGGTGAAACGGAGTCTCTGTCAGCTCCGCGGCTGCCGTCGATGCCCTGGAATCGTTTGCTCCTCGCCACGTTTAAACCTCCTTGCGCCCCCAGCTGCGCTGCCCCAGCTGTGTTCCAGCGGCGTGGGGTGAAGACAACCGTTTGTAACCGGTTCGTTTTTCAAACGGGATTATTGCTCTTGCCTGCGAGGCAAGGGGGTTCAGCCCCGTGTGTAACCAGAGCATCTTTGCATGAGCAAAGCTCTGCTCTTGGTTGTGTTACCTTCCCTACTTTGGCCAAAATACGCTGTGCCAGTGAAAGTAACTTCAGGCGGGTCCTTGCCTGTATATGAGGTTTTGCCAGTGCAAATGTATTTGTCGGGGAATGCTCTTCATCGTCTTTATTATCAGTGTAGTTATGTCTGCAGAGGTTTAAGCATTTAGTGTAAACTTAGCTTATTTGGAAAAATGAGGGTCAAAAAGGTGACTGTCAGAAAGTTGATTTTGTGTTTATATATTCAAATCAAACACCACCATTTGTTTAACCTGAGGTTCCTGAACTCTGACTAAAACCAAAACCTGGTTTAGAAAGCTTCTGGTCCTGTCTGATACTTAGTTTATGGGAGTCTGTTGATCTGACTAATTTTTTTTTTTGCATTTGTTTTATTCTGAAAAGCTTTTTTGTTAAGCTCTGCTGATGGCAATAATGGAACAGTTAACTGGACGACTAAGCAAGCCCACAGTTATATTATCAGCAGAATAAAGGCTGTTGAGAAGAATGGTGAGTTTAGGTTGTAAATTTAAATCCCATGTTGGTTCAGTCAAATCTGCTTTTAGTATTACTCTTACTTTTTCAGTCATGTCTTTGTTTTAGGAATAAAGTGCTGTTTCAAGGTAAGTAATTTGGACAACTTTACGTTTCTTCAGTCTTTTAAACATTCACAGACCTGCGTGTCTTTGTGAGTCTTCCCCAACTGTTCCTGTAGCTTTGCTTGAAATAATGGCTGTGTGTATACCTAATATTGCACATTTTCTTACCGCGGCTGGTTGCTTGGAGATACCTCTGCAGTTTGCTTAATACAGTAACTTGTCTGTAACAATTTAAAAAAAAAATCATATAGGTATGTAAAAAGACTATTTTACTGTCATTTATGCACATACACATAGAATATTTTAGCTAGTGTACACTCGCTGAGAAAAGGCTTTGCACTGCTTGCCCATCCAGGCCACCCAATCTGGATTGGCCCCTGAATCAAGTTATTTCTGGGACTGTGCTTCATCTGCTAAAAATCAATGGGGAGAGAACCCACTGAAATTCCAGAAAAAATTTCCAGGTGATTTTTTTTTTTTTTTTTTTTAAAGATCATCAACGTAGAGGCTACAGCCAGCATGGTAAATCTGAATTTCTGGAGACGGGGGTCATCTGTATCTGATGACGGGCTCTGGGCTGGAGGCTGATACAGTCCGAGCTGAGTTCCGGGCTGTGCCCACGTTCAAGAACAACTGGGACAGTTTCTGTACGTGTTTTAAAAAGAGATGTGTGTTTTCTAGCCTTCAGTTCCCAGTTAATCTACTTCTTTCCCAGTCTCCAGAACTTCTGACCTTTCTGCACACATACATCTATCTCTTGGGATCTACACAAAGTCCTCCAAGGGATCTGGAAACAAGAAAGGAGGAGACAGGGCTGTTCAGGTAGCTGATACTGTCCTTTTTTTCTAGCACAGAAGCCTTTCACCGTCCCTGAGATTTCTGTCTGCCGCAGGGCGTTTGCCCAGGCAATCCACGTCTGGCAGTGTGCTGTGTTAGAGCCGTGTCTGGTTGGAAGTATATTCAGTTTCATCCCTAGGTCACCGGAGCTGATCACCCATTCACCTCCAGTCTCAGGCAGCCTTACGAAAATAATTGAGGGTTTTAAAAGCTGGTGAAGAAAATAGCGTTTCTCTTGTTTCATTGTTGAAAACCAGTGATTGCTGTGGTGGGCTGAAGACTCCTTTGCCTTGTGGTTTTGAAGGCGCTTCGTAGGGGAAAAAAAAGAGAGCTTCTCTGACAAGGGGGCGAGAACGTTCAAATTCTTCATCTCTGTACCTGTGTCACTACAGTGTGTGTGTTTGTCGTTACAAGGTGAAATAGGTTGGTGGGTTTTTTCCTTCCGAGAGGCGTTTTTAGACTTCCACCGAGATCGCTGGCTTACATCTGCGTGAGATGCTTATCGGTCTGTAACAGGGAACATCTCGCTGCTAGGAATGGGCAAGCATTTAGTGGTGGCAATAGATCTCCTCTAACAGGCAAAAGAAATAAGTTACATGAGTTTTTTTCGGTAACTGCTGATTCTATTATCCATCTTCCTTGCTAGAACTATTGCTTATGGAGAAAATATGCATTACTTTTTCACAGTTCTTCCTGTTTGAAATGGATTTTCATTCCAGAGTCAAAGCATCAGAAATGGAAAAATTGATTTTTTTCTTGATATTTGATGCATTTTCAGCCAGGCACCTTATTTTTGTCAGCTTTTCTGCTCTATTAATGGTGTAGATTACTTTTTCAGCTTTTCTTGAAAATACTTTAAAGGAAATGAATTCGTTTCCTTGCTCTATTTACAGCTCATTCACAGAAGTGAGTGCAAAAGTTTTTTTGGGTCATCAATTTACTGATTTTAATTGCACAAATCAATTAGCTATGTTACTGTGCTTAAGTCTACATCATTGAAATTCCAATAACTGGTTTATTAACTGCACAAAATTGCAATAAGACTATTTAAATTTCCGGATCCATTTTAGTTTTGTCTTTAAGGTAAAATGATTAGAAAGTTATTCTGTTTGGTACTGCGTTAAAAGCGATTTCCGAAAGTGGGAAAAAGCAGCTGCTGTGCAATGTGATCAATAGGATATCCAGAGCTCGAGGCTGTTGATTCTGCAACAGCAGGCTCCAAGAGCGGGAAGCATGTCACTAGATGTAGAGGTCTGCGCTACAGATGCCTGCATCCTCTCGGCTGCCTCTGCACTCAGGGGGGATCTGGTCTGCGTAGTCAGGAATCTAGGACATGATTCATCTCATTTTCCAGGAGAAATCAAATTAATCAACCCCTAGAAGCGTCTGTTTCTTCTTCACTGACTATAAAAGGAGCCTGACTGACTCAGTGGTGGATGTTGTTTCTGTAGGCATCTAAAATTAGGTGAGAGAGATTCCACATGGAGTACATGGGGCGAGGGATGGAATGGCTGTGATTAGTGCCTAATTAGCAGTGGCTTTTGAAGCGGATCTCAACTAAGAACGTTGGTGTAATGATAAGGCTGGAGAAATCATACCGGGATTAGAAAATTACATGAGCTTGATCCACCTTTCAAAGGTACCTTGCTTATTGATCCCGGTGTTAGCCCTGTAGCCGCCGGGAGGTACGGGTTTGTTCTGGGAGCTTGATGTGGTGACTCTGACGTCTCTTTCGGAGTCGCTCTTCCCTACGACAGCACCCCCGGGCTGCGTGGCCTGTGGCCTGGGTTCGGAGATGTGACTTCTCGTAAAGCTTCTTTTGGTTGAGCCAGAAAAGCCGGCAGCTGTGTGGCTCCGAGGCTTGCCACCTTCACTTACCGCTTGTGCGATCCTCCTCTCATTGACAACAGTTATCGGCAGTGATTGATTCTCTCAGGGCATTGACTTCAAATGGAAGAGTAATATGGAACAGTAATATGACCTACAGCGTGTCCTGGTAAGACACCGTGACAGACACCTATTAGATCAGTATTCTCCATTTATACTTCAGTCTTTAAACTTCTCAGTAAAGCGGTTTCTTATCCATTTAATGTCTCAGAATGGTTTTTGTGTTCTTCTAATTTGTTAAAATGCGTACATAGTAGTGTTAAATGTGTTACACCTAAATAAGATTTGCTTTTATCAACTGAATTTGTAGTTACCTAAAAAATAGCACATTGCTTCTCCATATGCTGGTTGTTCTGAATTAAGTTTCCTTTAGGTTTTTAATTCTGAGTCCTGTAAAATACAGCTTCATTTTTTTTTTTTGTTTGGGATCAGTGACACCTGGCTGGCCTGTAATTGCCCACCTCCTTCTGTTTCATCCTTCAATACAAGCACACCACCTTCAATAACGAGCTCTCTAACCAGGTATTTACATGTCTGTTATCTGACCTTGCTGGTCTGAGAAAGTCTAGCTTTAAGAACTCGTAGAAATCCTCAGCCAGGGTGAATTGCTTTGTCCTTTTCTGCACCAGAACTGGGAAACCTGCCCTTTCCATTCAGTGGGGCATCAGTACCACGGGTTGGTAAGGTTGCTCCCTGTTTCTTATGTTCCTTATTTTTATGTAAGAAAACACAATTGTATCAATCATTTAACGCATTTTTATTCATGTAATGTTACGAATAAACCAACGAGAAGATTGCAATAGCCTCCCTCATTTTTTGTGATTGCAGTAACAATAAAGAGCTCACGCAGCTTCAGAAATCCTCACAGAGCCGGTTTGGTTCGTTGCAGTGCTGGAAGGGGTCCCGTTGGGCAAAGAGAGGGTTTGCTCGTGTTCTGTTCTCAAATCTACGCAACCTTTTAAAAACCTTATTAACAGTTATCTAATACCCGTTGCCTTCCTTCTGCCACGTTGCCCACGTTGCTGTGAAATGCACGCTGTGTTGTTCAGAGCATGTCTCATTTTTGCTTTTTTCTCTTATCTTTCCTTCTGCTTTTCAGTGTACACGATTCTGTCTAAGGTGCACTCTGATCGGAATGTATACCCTTCTGCTGGAGTTCTTTTTGTTCATGTTTTGGAGAGAGAGTACTTTAAGGGGGAATTCCCTCCTTACCCAAAGCCTGGTATGGGATGCTAAGATCTTCCATATTATATAAACATGTAGGGGAAAAAAAAAAAGTTTGAAAATATGCAAGTCTATGTAGCACACCTTACAGTTCAGCATGTAACTTACAGTTACAGCAGCTCCTGTTGAAATAGCTTCAAATGAACTAAAATAGGTGGGGCTACAAGTTTAAAATGTTCTGGTTTGTGATCATAGTTTGTGGAAAGATGCATGTAATTGTGTGCTGTGAAAAATGTACTTAATAATTTGGGAGGGCGTAACACATTGTGTATCTGAGATGAGGAAGTGTACCTTTTCTTCACTTGTGCCTTCAATATGAAATTGTGGAAGTTAAATGGCATTTTTAACAGACATAATTATTAGTCTGGTCAGTGTTTCAGACGCAGTATGATCAGGCTATATGAAGGAGCACCTGGAAAACATAGTGAATTCGAGACAAAATAGAAGATTAAATCAAACCTGAGACTACATAGGGATGTTTTCTTTCGTTTAAAACAAATGCTCCTTTGGATTCAGCCTGCTTCCTGTGTTTAGGAGCAGCTTGCTGATGGTAAGCAGCTCGGTTTTAGAGAAAGAGCTGTGACTTCTTTAGTATGGTGTTTTGACGTACACCTAGGGCAAACCGAAAGGACCGATTGTTGGCAGGTTGGGATATGTGAGAGCAATCTGGGGAGGAAGAGAAAGAACGTGCTGTCCCATGTGCTTATCAACAATGAAAAGGAATAGTAAATATATCCCATTTATATAAATATAACTACCCTATTTTCCTATAAAAATGGGAAAAACCTATGATAAATGTATAGTGCACACATAAGCAAAACCTGTTTCGCTATAAGCTTTTGAATTGTTTTGGGAGTACTATTTTCAAAACTCACCTTAAAGAAAAAATAAGCTTCTGTTAGCATTGGTTAAATTTTTTCATGAATGAAACCAAATGTTTTAAAAATTTTTTTCTCCTTGAAAAATGGATGTTTCTCCTGGCATGTATACACCTGAGTCTTCATTTCACGTAGCAGTGACTGGCAGAGCAAAGTTTGCCTCTGTCCCAGTTTTCTCCCCGATTTGGCACATAGACGGAAGGAACCTGGCAGTTTTGCTAAAGATGGATTGTCTTTCGAATCCTTACGGCCCCGGCCGGCCTTGGTGTTCATGTGATTCAAAGGCAGTGTGTGATTTCGGGTTGAGACCGCTGGAATTGTACCCAGAGATGGCTGTGGTCATACCAGATGTTCACTGTGAGGCCAGACGTTAGCGTGGTCCCTTTATTTTTGTCTGCTGGGCTGGGTCTTTAGCATGGCCTACCCTGATGAAGGGCAAACCAGAATGTATCTCAGGTGGCTTTCAGATTTTTCCCCAAATCTTTTGTGATGCTGGGAATTTTATTATGAATGTGATAGATTCAGTTACTGGGGCTTGCAGAGAGAATCGCTAGGACAGTGGCGTCACGCCCTGGTGCTGGTTTGGTGTGGGTTTGGTCCCTTTTACCCGCAGCCAGGTGTGTAAATGCAGACCTGAAAACCAGTTGCCCTTGGGTCTCAGTCTCTCTGCTCCTCTCTGGAGGAGATGACGCCGTTCTTTCTTCACTGGGCTGAGTTTCTGCCTTCTGTGCCAGCCTGCCTGTCATCTTCTCCTGTCACTTGTCCTACCGTGGCTGCGGTTGCCATTTCAAAGCTGAGTTGGAGGAGCAGAGGTGTCTGCCCTGGCTCAGGGCGGATTTCCCCACGTTCTGTGCCCCAGCTGGAAGGTGCTCATGCCCCAGCAGTGAGGAGCTGGTGGTGCTTACAAAAGCTAAACCAAACAAGTCAAATCCAGCCACTTCTAAAAGCGTCAGTGGAAGCCACGAGGACTCTTGTACTGGTTTAGCTCCAGGGGCTTTTCGAGATTGCATCTGGAGCGTTGTGTTTAGTAGCCCACAGTGGATCCGTTTTGCAGGGATGTCTGGTCCTTTTTTGAATTAATTTATTCTCTAAAGAAAAACGACTGCCAGGCTGTTGGTGCTGAAGACCCGTGTGTGTATCCTGATGCTAAGAGAAGCTTTCAGCCGTGGCTGGTTCCGCAGCCGCTCTTTGCAGGAAGGCGGTACCTTGGGTCTCCAGAGCCGTTACTAAAAACAGGAATAAAAGAAGAGGTTTTGGGAATTAAAGGGCTGAGACCTTTGTGCTTTTTTCAGCAAGGAGGTTAGATGCTTCAGTTGTAGGTGGAACTGAGCTCTAACAGTCAGACCTACTAGTGAGGGAGCGCAAGCTCACAGGGTTGGCCAGAACTCGAAGGACAAGCACGTTCATCTCTGCAGTTGGTTACGCCTTTCAGACACGAATTTCTTAATAGTTACAAGCGCTGGGTAGGAGTTCACATATTTGTGATATGGTGAAGGTGAGCAGGTTTTTCTTCTTTTTGGAAATGTTTAGAAGTCATAACTGGAAGACAGTAAGATTTTTATAATGGAAACATCAAAATGTGTAGTGTTTTCTTGTAAATAACATAATTTTTCTTATCTAGGTGAAGTAAGTAATGATCCTATAACATTTAATACCAACTTAATGGGTTACCCTGACAGACCTGGGTGGCTACGCTACATACAAAGGACACCATACAGCGATGGAGTGCTGTACGGCTCGCCAACTGTAGAAAACGTGGGCAAACCAACCATCATTGAGGTATTTTCTTTTAAAGGTTCAAAAAGATGTGTTTTGTTTTGGAGTGTAAGATTCAGAATTGTCAACAGGCATTGCCTCTCTTCTCGAAAAGTTGACTAAAAATAAAAGAAGGATTATAAGGCAGGGACAAGGACTTGTGACATTAACGTTTTCTCTTAGGTGCCATTGTATCCTCTTTTGAGAGAAAGCCAAGTTGTGTGACATTTCATACTTTACTCTTAAGGTATAACTGGTAAATAGCAATGACCATTTAAGCTTAATATTCCTCGACAAAACACCTTTAGGTTCTCGCCCTTCATCTTTCTAAGAGGCGTTTCAGTTCAGTAAATTACAAATATATTAAAGTTGTATTCAAAATACAGGGGACAAAAAGACTTTGTAAATAACTGTACTTGAAGAGTATCTGAGTTCTGAACTTTGTGACATTCTACCCTAAATATGGGCCGGACTTTTCCCCACTGGAACATACAGTGTTCAGTCAACAAGCAGGTGTGGGGTTTGGTGGGGTTTTTTAATTAAATTATTTTTCATCAAATATGATGTGGTTTGTTATTCATGTTTGTTGATAGATTTAATTTTAATTAGCACGTACGTGTATTTAATTCTATTCTTAGAAGTGTAGCAATGACAAAACCCACTACTTTATTTTTGACAATAAGCTATCCAAATGTTTAAAATGCCAGTTATTCATTCAGCAGCAATTGAAAGGGGAAAAAGGACCATGTTTTCTGCCATGTATATCATGGACCGAATTGGCACTGTGGCTCACAGTGTTGAGGAAAATCAGCTCGTTCCCTTGCTCCAGCCATTTTGCTGCTTCAGCAGTATATTTGTCTTGAACCCTGGATGACTTTCTTCTTCCTAAGTGGCATTTCATGTAGCTGTTCTCCCCCAGGAATGACATCTCTGTGTTGAGTTGTACTGTGGATGGTTTCACCCATGCTTA